ATAGTTCCTCTTTATCCTGGAAGCACCTTGTATTTCCATCAATTTCTAGGGACAGTTGTGCAGGATATATCAGTCTTGGCTGGAGGTTGTTATCTTTCAAGCTTGAATTATTTCCCCCCACGCTCTTTGTGATTTGATGGTTTGTGCCGAGAAGTCTGCTGTAGTTCTGATGGGTTTTCCCTTGTAAGTGATCTGTTTCTTGTCTCTGACGGCTTTTAATATTCTGTTCTTATATTGGATTTCTGGAATTTTGATTATTATATGCCTGGGTGTAGCTCTGTTTGGGTTGTAGGTGGCTAGGGTCCTGTATGCCTCATACATCTGAGTATCTTTACCTTTTGCTAAATTAGGGAAATTCTCTTGGATTATTTCTGTGAATAGCTTTTGGAGTCCATTTGTTTGTGTCCCTATTTCTTCTATGTTCTTAAGTTATAGATCCTCTTATCATCTTCTAGCCTTTGTATGATTGCTGTTTATTTCCTTGTTATTTTTAAGAGGTTTTTCATTTCATGCTTCCACTTTACAAATCTGTCCTCCTGTTCAGCTAATCTGTCCTTAGTTTCTTTCAAGCTGTTATGCCAGCTTTCAATAGAGTTTTTAGTTTCCTGGTAATCTCTTTGAACCTGCTTCACGTGTTCTATGTTTTCTCTCTTTTCTCCATCAAATAATTCTCCCCTTTTTTTCTGTTCTTCCATTCTATCATCTGTTTTTCTTGGGTGGTGCTTAGCATTTCTCTAACTATTCTACTTATATCTTGCCTTACTTCATTAAATACTTCACTTTTGAACTCATCTATGAGGCTCCAGAGATATCGCTTTATGTCTATTGGTGCCGTGTCTGATATTGCATGTTTTCTGTCCTCATTCTCCATTGCATTTACCTTTCCTGGATCAGTGTTCTCAGGATTGGGGATTGAGGACCCTTTCTTGTTGTTCCCTCTTCCCATACTTTTTGTTCTTCCATACAAGCATATATAGGAGGCCCATTTTCTTTCTTTGTCGGTTATATTTTGTTGGAATATACCGGCTAGGTGTTCCCGCCCACTGCAGTGTACCAGGGAGAGACAGACCTGGGCAGCCTCTGCTGGGCCCACCCCTCCAGGTCAACCTACTGATGGCTTCACTGCTAGAGTGCACCACCAGGTCCTGGGACCTGGTTTGGCTAGCCTACTGGATCTTGGTCAGGGCATCACCTAGGCCAAGTACTCCCCACCAATCCCGCTTGAAAGGGGAATATGCGACTAAAGTCACTGCAGCATCCTGTTCTGCCTAGTCTTCCCGGTCCCAGAATGTCCTCTGTTAGAGCCTCCTAGTCTATGGAAGGTCCCCATTCCTCTCACTTACTGCAGGTCAATGCACGGCTCCCTGCCAGTCCCACTCTCAACTCCGTTCGCTGATTCCCGCTCTCAGAGCTTTCATGGGTCTTTCTCCCTGCTGTGCTGCTTCAGATGCAGCAGCAGCAGCAGGAAATTCAAATCGTGGTTTTCAGAGGCGTGGGTTCCAGCTTCTATGCTGAGATTTTATCTGTTCCAGTTATAGCACCAGGATTGTATTTCCAGTTGGTTTCTTTCAGCTTAGTTCATTCCTGGGTAGGCAGCGTATATCTCCCCTTGCTTAGGACTCCCCAAACCGCAGCATTCCTGGATTCTATGCTGGCTGTCTCAGAAAGCCTCCGTAGCTGCTGTTATCTATCCATCATGTTCTCCTAGAAGGATTGTTCCTAATTTTAGAGTGAAAGTTTTCAGTTTTTGATAATTTGGTATGACATTAGCTATTGCTTTGTCATAGATGGCTTTTATCAGATTGCAGTTATGACCATCTATTCCAATTTTCTTTAGGGTTTTTATTTTTTCATGAATAGGCATTGGACTTTGTCAAATGCTTTTTCTGCATCTATTGAGATGATCATGTAATTTTTGTCTTTAGTTTTGTTAATATGGTGTATTACATGTATTGATTTGAATATGTTGAGCCTTCCCTGCATCCCTAGTATGAATTCTACTTGGTCAGGGGAAATTTTTGTGGACTAAGATATTTACATGGATTTACAACTTCTCCCTGAAGATTATTAGTAGCAAGGAAGCTGGTAATTGTATGGTGGAGAAATTGAGCAATACCTTGACCCAAAATGAGAACATTCATTTTTTTAAATAGGTCTTCTAAAAGATCAATGTTGTAAATGACCAAGTCTGTTCCAAATTAAAAGAAACTTTTAAAAAACAGGACACAATGCAAGATCCTACACTAACTAAGTCCTGTACTATTATGAAAAAATTCTATAAAGGATATCATTCAGTAGATCTCTTCTGCTATGCAGGACTGTTTTTCACACTTTTTAATGGTTGAAAAAATCTAAAGATTAATTTAAGATATATGAAAAATATATGAAATTTAAATTTCAGTGTCTAAAATCAAGTTTTATAGGTGCACAGCCATACCCTTTCATGTATTGTCTATGGCTGTTTTCACACCAGGGACAAGTTGAATGGTTGCTGAGATTGTAAGACCTACAAAGCTGAAAATATTACCAGTTGGTCCTTTACAGAAAAGTCTGCTGACCCCTGGATTCAAGTAATAGTTCTCAACATGGGCCGACTTTGCCCTCCAGGGGACATCTAGGTATTCTGAAAACATTTTTGGTTGTCACTCCTGTGTAGGATGGGAGCATGCTACTGACATCTAGTGAGTAGGCCAGGAATGCTACTACATACTTGATGTAAGACAACCCCACACATTTGGTCCAAATGTCCTCAGCGCTGAAGTAGAGAAACACTGGCCTCGAGGATCTTATTTTCTCAGGGAAAATTCCATCCTTCATAAGAGAGCCTATTTCTTCCACGCCCAGGCCTTATCCTTACTTACATTAGCTCAGGTTGTCTTAATAATGGCTTTGCAAAGGAGCCACTGTTAACACAAATTGTTCGTTAGTGCTTCAGGAGCAAGTCAGCCTGGGTCACGTCTGTTTTTCCCCTGCACTCAGCCTCAATCGGCTGCCCCCTAGTGTGCGAGCTGCATAGAGGCAGGCCAATGTCGTTTCCTCTGGTACCCGCAGAGGCTTGCAGGCTTCCGCACAGAGGCAGAGGAGGCGAACCACTCCTCCAGCCTTCAGCATCAGACTGTTAGGGAAATGAAGCCAAGGGAAGGAAACTCCACCTCTGCCACAATCAAGAGTTCTTAAAACTGACCATTCTTCCTCTTGCCCGCTTTAATGCTTGGGGGGGGGGTGGGAGACTTCCCTTTCTGGTGGACTCAAGGACACAACACTACTGTTTGGTAGCTATAGAATGTTTTTCGAGTCATAAAGTCTTTTCCATGAATCTGGGAGATGTTCACAGTACAGTATTAAACAAGGGAAGACATAGAGTGGCAGTTTTCATTTTTTCCAGCCAGAATTAAAACTCGCCTGAATCTTTTGTATGATCTACTACTACACTTCCTCAAGTCTGTTATGATAATTAGCTCAACTGATTAAACCCATTCTGATAAAGTAAAAGTTAGAGGACTTTCCACTCATACCTGCCCTGCCCCAGTGGGAACTTCAGGCCCAGACTGAGAAAAGAAAGGCACAAAGCCACTCACCTTGAAAGATTTCCTGGTTTGATGGTTTCCCTGAGCCCCCTCAATCACCCACATGGGAGGCAACCACACACTCCTGGTAAAACAAAGCCAAGCCGTAGGGAGCCGTTTCATGTAATGATTTATCATCAGACCACAGAGCCATTTAGTATTTCTTTTAATTTTATTGAAAATTGACACGGACATTAGAAAGGTTTCAAGCTAAACAGTGCTGGTTGTGGGATGTTTTTCATGGAAAATGAAAATCCCGGGAAGATCACATCTTTGAGGAAAGAGAACAGAGAAGAAAGGGGAAACAAACAGATTCTGGAAAACATGCAAAGAGGCTCTCTAGAGACACTGGGACAGCAGCAAGGTGGTGACGGTGGTAGAGATCTATCTCACATGGTATTTTGATGCAAGTTAAACTGCTAAAGTCAAGGCAGATTTATCCATATCAAAACTCTCCCCCCAGTTACCAGGTTGAACAGAAACCTAAAGTGGCCTTCAAAGTCTGAATGGGTAATTTTGCTCTAGGCGCCCTTCTCCACCTGAATGTTAAGAGTGGATCCATTTTCCCCCTTGCCAGAGATAGTCTTTTCTCCTGGGAATGCTGAAGGTCTGGGAATGCTGAAGATGCAAGGACCACTTAGCTTTCTCTTCCATATTCAGAAATGTTTAACAGTGGCCAAAGACAGTCAACACACTGAACCAGAGAATTGTTCTTTAAAGAAAAAAAGCGGGGCTGGAGATTTAGCTCAGCGGCATAAGCGCCTGCCTTGCAAGCAGGCAGTCGTGAGTTCGATCCCCGGTACCGATAAAAAGGAAAAAGACAAAAAAAAAAAGCATAAAACTCAAACAAAATCTTGTGAACAGCACTTCCACACCCACAGCTGAGGTCTCCTGCCCCAGTCACTTATACTTGGGTGAGTGGTCCTGTAGTTGTCTCTCTGAGGTTACATTTGGTCCATTTTCCAGCTCTGATGATTCTTTTCCTGCCTTGTTAGTTTGGGACAAGACACTTCATTTTAAAATACCATGTAAGTCAGAAAAGAGCTTCTTGCCTGGACACAGGGACACGTACATTTGTTGAGTGTGGTGTGTGTGTGTGTGTGTGTGTGTGTGTGCAGTTTGAGGGGAGTGGGAACTGGTTGGTTTCTGGTTTGAGACAATATGGAACCCTAGCTCTTCTATAATGGCAGTCTTCTTCTTTAGACTTAGTGCAGTTGCTGAAGATAAGATTAAAAAAAGCTGGAGAGGGCGAGAGAAAGAGAAAGAGAACATGAAATTAGCCAAAGGAAAAAGACATTCAAAGACAGGGAGGGGAGTGGGCAGTATGAGGTAGCAGAGATTATAACTTCAGAAGACAGGTTAGAAATGGGGTCATTGACGGGCCATCACCAACAGAAAATCTGCTGAGGAGAGTTGAAGAACACCACACACCAATTTAAAAGCTTCTTGTTTTAATAAAAACAAGCACATATCAACAGCCATATGTAAATGCCAAATGATTAAAACAAACAAACAAAGTGATCCGAACGGCAGCTGGAGAAAGCAAACTTCTTGGGTTGGGAGAGATGAAGGTGTGTGTGTGTGTGTGTGTGTGTGTGTGTGTGTGCGTGTGCGTGCGTATGTGTGTAAAACCATTCCAACCAGGGAAAATAAAAACACAGACCATTTCTAATGACTGGTTTTGTTTCACCAAAAGTAAACAGAGAACTTAGGGTATTTTTTAAAATGGTAACAACTGTACTAATTAAAAAGTCTTTTCAGTGAAGAAGGAAAAAAATCCTTTTGGTCTTCAGTGAGAAAAGCTAGACAGTGAAATAAGCACTTTGATTATTTTAATAGGCCTGATTGACATTTAAAGGCCTTATATCCTAGATTTTTGTTTACCAAACTTCCCCTGGCTACAAGGATCACCCAGGGCATCTATTAAATGCACATTAGCCTGGGCCCTCTCCAGACTGACAGGAAGGCGCCCTGGAGACTCCTCTCAACTGTACTACTTCGTTAAATTAAAGAGCGGGTCTGGAGCCTTCCCTGCCTAACTCTATCTGCCCCATCCTTGGATTTTTTTTTTCCTATGGGGAAAAATCCTCAAGGATCCTCTAATACTATTTAATTTTTTTGGTTGTTGTTGCTGTTTGTTTGGTAGTCCTACTGCCTCAGTCTCACAAGGGCTGGGATTATAGCCGTGATATGTGTCACCACACCCAGCAACTCACTGTCTGGTTTCATCAAAAGATCTTGCTTCTAGGCATATATACAAGTAGATGGATTCCACTGAGGAAATGGATTTGGTATCTAGCAATGTGGAATTTAGCGTGGCTTTGGACAAGTCCCTTCACTTATGTGGACCTGTTTCCTCTTACAGAGTAAGCAGACTCTGTCCTACTGAGCAAAATTTTTCCCTCTTATAGAAAATTCTTTACTATAAAATCTGAAGGCCTTTCATAAGCCATGTGGCTCTAATACTTTTGAAGTATTTTGAGATCATCAAGCCACAAGTAATCTGTAAACAAATACAAATAAGGGGCCTCCTGTTTGTAATGAAAGTAGTTATCTAGGGGTCTGGTGATTATTGGTTGGTAATCAGGGAAGGTAGATTTAGATACATCAAAACAGCAAACAAGGAGGCTTTTCCAACAGTCCTAATAGTCCTAACTTTCTGAGCCACTGGCTGAGTATCTGAAGGGTTTTTAGATTTGTTTTGGTTTTGGAGGGACTTGGTGGTACTGGTGGTTTGTTTTTACCTGCAAGCGTAGGATCTCCTCAAATGCTCCATGTTGACTTGGATTTTCCCAAGACACTGTCTTATGCTTTGGCCAGTAACCAAGCAGCGAAGCACCAATCAAGACATACCAGTATCAGAACTGTATTTGTGCTTTGCTGATGAGAAAAGAGAATGTGTGTGCATTTGTTTGCTTTTCACTTTTTATACTTTTTGCTTCCTAGTATTATCCATGATTGAAGAAAGTAATGCTTTCCCCTTTCCCAACACTTCAAAAAGGCCTGGGAATTTGGCATGGCCTCTTTGTGTTTTAAAAGGAAGTAATCACAAAACAACCTCAAAAAGAAAAATGAAGGTCATGGTCGGTGCCAGTGGGACTGGGAGGCAGAAGCAAGTCGCACAACTCAAAAAGAAGTGGGGCTTGAAGTACACAGCAGGGGTGGAGGACCCAGCTGCCTGACACCCCAAAGAAAAGCTGTCAAGTTAGAATAGGAACCTTCGCTTAAAAGGCTAAGTGAAGTCCAGTCCAGCTGTAGCAGGGGATACTATTCAGTACACAGCCATGGATTACTGCAAAGGAAGGGCAGAGAGACCGCTATTAGCCACAGATCATTGCCAGGTCGCCTCCGGCGCTCACTCTGTTGCTGGCCAAATGCCAAAGGCCATTGTGCACAACAGAGGGCTTTCTACTTCAAAGGGGCTCCCAAAGCCACTACCAGAGGGGACCCATTATGGAACTTAGGGCTGGGATATTTTTAAAATATCAAATCCCTAGACTACAGAAAAGATTAAAGACCTTTCAAGGCCTAACATCTCTTCCTCCCTCCAGTTGACAGTCACACCTCTTATTGGGGACACATGCAAAATACAGATTAAAATCATTATCACAGTCACTCAATAGACCAGAAGTCTCATTCCTGCAAATCCCAAGCACTGGATTCTTTGACCAGTCAGTTTGGTCCCACCTCATTAGTATGGCGAGGAGCCTCTGGAAAATGGCTAAGAAGATGTTGAAACCCCTCAGAATTCTGTAAGTTTATCACTCAAGACTCTAGGCTGGTAACAGTATTCAGCTTTATTCTCCCTTTTGCATCTGTGGGCTACCCAGAGATAGAGAGGGGGGAAATTTATGATATTTGCTTCAGCAATTATGTTTTATAGTAAAAGCTTGTATAAATAAACTTGTTACCAACTTTTAACACAGCTTAAGTATGATTACTGAGTGAATTAAAACTGGAAAGGGCTGAAGGAAAAAGCATCCTTTCAGAGCCCTCTGAGAAGAGGCTATGGCTCCTAGGATGAGCCTAGAGGTCAGGGAGGACCAGCGTCTGGGAGGCAGGCAACTAAGGAGACAGCCATGTTCACGGGTGCTTATCCAGCCACGATGGATGCAAATACCTCCAGGAACCAGGAAGCTGATGGTGAGAAGTAGCAGTGACATGCTTCCGTCTGGTAAGAGATGGGGATGGGGAAAGGTGTAGATAGCTTGAGGTGCTAGGAGAGAGACCCAGATGTGGGCTGTATCTCTAGCCATGTGACTGCTGGCCTCTTGACCAGAGGCCAGACACCATCCTCTGACTCTCAGGCTTCCATGAATTTTTTGCCAGAAAAGAGTAGAGGGCAGGGCTGATGTGCCCCTCTAGACATGTTAAGGGGGAATTAGGGAAAGGGAGGCCCAGCTCTGTTGCACAGGAAAGGGCGCATCTACAGGAAGCCCAAACTGAAAATGAAAAGAGAAGTTGGGTTAATAAATGGGCCGATTAATATTCTAAAAAATTTTTTTAGAAAACTATTTAGGTCATAGTGACTGATGGATAAATTAGAATATAGCTATGTTAGATGGTCTTAAGATTTTACTGAATTGGGGCTGGGGATTTAGCTCAGCGGCATAAGCGCCTGCCTTGCAAGCGCACAGTCATGAGTTTGATCCCCGGTACCAATTAAAAAAAAAAAAAAGATTTTACTGAATTGGCTCCTGGGAACATGTTTTCTCTCTCATTCACCCCCCCATTCCTAAATGGTAAATAAGGGAATTAAATTGCAAAATGTGACCAATGACCACAAAAATAATTTTTAAAATGTCTTCTTAATCACTAGGTTCTGACTAATATTCCCCAAACCCCAGATATCTGTGGCAGGAAGACTTTCAGCGAATCTCCAGCAGCCTTGGACCACAGCATAGAATACCACGCTCTTAGCCACTGTACTTCCTTGTCCCACAAGGAAAGCAGAAGAGGCTAGTTTCAACTCGGGCATCCTCTGGAGAAGGCCAAGGCAGCTAACTGGTATTCTGAGGCAAGAGCTGTTTGTCAAGTGTCTAGTAGATGCATCCAGACCCAGTCACCTGAACAGCTGAATTATAGAAACCTATTATTGGTTTGTGTCCACATAGCTCTTTGACCTCCTATTTAAACTCCATCTCTATGTTATAAATAAGGCAAGTAGTATTTCTATGAAGACACAGGAACAGAGAAATCAACTGACTTGCCTGTGGTCACCAAGAAAGTGTTACAACTAGGGTGACTGTAGTTTAATTATTTAACTAAGTCTCTCACCATCATACTAGTGTTCTAAGAATTCCTTGGCCATGGAGCTAAGCCCATTTATTACTTGGAGAATATATTTATCCCATTAAATAAAAGCTACTAAACATTTGGAGGGTTGTAGTTACTGGAAAGTATGTACATAAATGAAAATGTGATGCATTTCCTGTAAGTGAATACACCTACCCCTCAACACATACACACCTACCTACACTCCTACACACACACACACACACACACACACACACACAGAGTTTAGGGATAGACACACACATGCACCCATCAGGTGAATGCAGTTTATACCACAAACAAGAACTTCTATGTTCTGGTTGTAGTTCTGCCACTAGCTCACTGTGTGATCCTTAGTAAGTCCTTAAATCCTTCCCTCCTTTTTTAAAATTTTTGGTACTGAGGATTGGACTCACAACTGTGTATTTGCAAGGCAGGCACTTATGCCGCTGAGCTAAATCCCCAGCCCCCTCCCCTCCTTTTCTACCTCTCAGAACTGTGGTAAAGATGAGATGTTATATAGAAGAACATTTTGAAAAGAAATCAATAAATGTTATATGAATGCTTGCCTCTTCATTTTTTCTGTATCTACTTCCTAGGGGAAGATTAACCTAAAAAACACAGCAATGGCCTAACATTCTGGGCTCTGTGGGAAGGCAGTGGTGTTCTGATGTGTATACTGTCCATACACTGTGTACCCCAAAGACCATTAACCACCACTGCAACATAGTATCTACCACTGAATGGATGGCACAGAGGAATTTCTCTTACAATTACAAACAACTGCAAACAGTGCTTCATGGAGGATCCTCAAAGCTGGAGGGGAACAGTAAGCTTCACTGCCTGCATCAGAGGTGGTCCTTGTGACCCACTCCTCAGATGAGGGCTCTGGGGAGAAGATAACTGCCTCTGTTGTTCTCAGGTCCTGGGAAACCAATGCCTCCCCTGATTTTTTCTTTTAGAAATGCTTTTGTAGCCCACTAGGAGGAAGTTTGCCAGGAAAACTCAGTCTACTTGGGTTGGGGTTGATTGTTCAGTGGTCTACCAATTGCCTCTTACTTGTAAAGTGTGCCTTTAATTACAGTTTTTCTAGAATTTGTTTTAGGACTGGCCACTAACAATGATGTACTCAGAGAAACCCGAATGAATTCATGTCAAGCCATGCACAAAACCTAATTTAACTGAAGCCTAATTCACCAGGATACATCATTCCTGCTTCCCTCGATAAAACTGGGGCAACAATGAAAACCTGTAAGAAGTACACTCCTACTGTGTGTCATATGCTTTGCTAGGCACTGGGACTTCAGCAGTGCAAGGATTCTCTGGGAATTTATAGTATTCCTAAATGGAAAGCTGCTGTTTAATTCCAGTCAGCTAGCAGGGGCTCTGAGACTTGCCTGTGAGCCAGATAGTAAATCATCACATTATTCTTTTAGGATGTTTTCTTTTGGCCCAGTTTCATGGGCCTTCTGTTTCAGAAGCCTCTATGGATTCCTCTTTGGGATCTGCTTGAAAGTAGGATGTTTTGCCAGCTGTCCAATGTCCCCAGTGCAACAGCTGCAGCAATTAGTTTGGTGACTAACAGAAAGCTCTCAGTGCATAAACTGCTTGGGTGAGTGGGGAGAAGTCTTCTCGACAGTTCAGATTCTCCAACCCAAACAGACCAAATGTAAAAAGGTATTTATGAGACAACTGGGGCATTTCAAACACTGACTAGACATTTTATATTAACAAATTATTGTTAATTTTGTAGGTATGACAATAGCAGGTGGTTATTTTTTAAAAGTCATCTCAAAAAGATATACACAAGCATATTCACAGACGACATACACTAGCATATTCCAGCAGGTTGGGAGAAATTGATGGAACAGGTTGGCCATATATTTTTTTGTTTTGTTTTGTTTGTGGTACTGGGCACTGAACTACATCCCTAGCCATTTGTAATATTTTTTGAGACAGGTAAGTCACTAACTGCCCAGGCTACGCTCAAACTTGCAGTCCTCCTGCCTCAGCCTTTCAGAGTGCTCAAATAACAGGTGTGTGTCACTATGCCCAGCTGGACTGGATATGCATTGACAGCTATTTGGTGGCAGGGTTGTTGGTACATGGGGATGCATTGTACTATTTTTTATATTTGAAAGTTGCCATGGTAAAGTTTAAAAATAATAAATAAGCCCAATTATGTTAAATTTAAATCATGTATATTCCTTGTCTACTACCTGAATCTAGCAGAGTAGATAAAAGATACCTAATCGCCGTTTTCTCCCTGTAACTCCCTATAATCACTGCTTTCAGTCTCCTTACAAGCTGTGTGATGCCAGTAAGTGCTTTATTTACTTCTACAGACACAGCGTCTGGCTCTCTGCAATACTTCTTACCAAAGGCTATCTGCTTATCTCCTTAGCAGGTCTGCATGAAGCTGGCACTTGCAGAACTAAGTGGAAGACTTTATACCTGAAATCTCTTTATTTTCTTCCACTTTGATTATGGTTTTGGGAGGCACACAGCCAAAGGAAACAGGAAAACCTGAACCCCTCTGATAAGAAACAGCTACCAGAGGGAAAGAGAGATGCAAGTTTCCATTGGCTCTACCCACTCCCAAACTTGAGGATCAGGGCTGTCTGAGATACTACAGGAGCAGGCTTGTAAGTGCAGGATGGTTTCTGAGTCACTACAGTTAATTAATTTTGAAAGTAATGATTATTGTTCCTTAGGGGGTAAGACTGCCCAAATTGAAACCTGAAATATTGATCACAGGATTCACATTTGATACCTAGCTGTTCTAGCAACAGAAGTCTGCAAATTCTCCCTTTGATCAGGCAGGCAGGCAGGCATGCAGGCATGCAATCACCATGAACACTTGAAACCACACCAGGCTATTTCTTCATACCAGAAGTCATGAGAGGAAACCAGCTACCCCAGGGAAGCCATTTCTTTTATGATTAGATTTGTGCATAGGGCACACAAGGTTTGGGGAGATAAATTCTAAAAGCCATTGCCAGTTCTATTTAGAGTTAATAAAGCTTACCAGGACCCTGGGTCTCATGCAGCATGCAGCAAACAGCAGAGTTAACTGTAAAACAGTAAGAGCTGATGAAGATGGAGTAAGCATGAGGAGAAATAAAATATTATGAATTGACACAAACGATGAAGAGTTAGAGGTCAAGAGAGATTAGCAGTAGCAGGAAGGGGAGGAGGGAAGAGGGACTGGTAGGAACCCCTGAAACACTGTATACTTTCTTAATCTAGTAAGGCCAGCCAAAGGACATTCTGAGTATGTCACTATTAGATCCAACCACCATCTCTCAAGAACTGCTCTCCCCACCATTTCTACACTGAAAGCCCACCACTGTCACTATGGGTGCAGAGTGGCACAGGTTTAACCATGGTTCTTCCAGAAGTTCACTGATTCTTCAGGGAATACACATGGACCCCAGACCTGGAGTCACTTGTGCATCTGGAAGTATGGAACAGGCCAGGCTATTTTGTTAGGTACTTATGGCTAATAATGTGAGATGCTACATTTCAGCAAGGATTTTACCTATCTCAGAACTGGGCACTATCACTGATCCCAAATATTTCTGGAGAATGGAGAATGATGTAACCCTATACAGGGTCCTCTGGCTGGAGTCAGTGAGGAGAAGTCAATCGATTTGAAGCAACAAGGGGAAAGTTTGGTCTGAGAGGAGCTTTCACTGAACATCTCAAAGAGGGAATGTTTATACCTTAGTGTTAGTGTTGTCTAAACAACTATATAATCTAACTCCTGCAAGCAGGCTGTGAAATTGCCCCAGGGATTGAGTTAACAAATGGACTATAACAACAGCAGAATAGGGCTGGAAGATAAATTTAGATTTTTCTGATCCACAGCACCACCAAAAAAAATCAAATTTACATTTTTCTGATCTTAAAAATAGGAACCTATTCCTGCTGGTATGGGTCATACACTGAGACAGATAAACTAATACATGATGTATTCAAAGAGACTTTCATTTGCTAGTTGAATTTTATCCATCAGATAATATCAAAAGAGTTAATCAGTGAAGTTGACATTTAGTGTTAAGATTCCGTAATAAAAATTTCTGGAGCAGTTAGTGAAAATGTTCGCATTACACATTTGTTAGTCAAATGTGAATAACTGGATTGCAAAACTGAGTGCTTTCAAATGTAAAATATTTTATAGTGTACAAAAGCACTGTGTTACTTGTAAGTGATAAGCCAGGCATCGATGAAAGGAAGGTGTTTCTTCCTTCTGGCAAGTATCCAAAAGCTGTCCACAAACAAGTGGCTAAAAACAGAAGGCAAAGCCCACAGACAACTTTTGGATCCAAAGAACCCTTCAGTAAGGACACTGCTAAATCTTCCATCTGGGAGTTTTGTGAGTCATAGTGTGCAAACAACTACAGGGTTCCAGGAAGCCCCTGGACATTTTCTTGGTGTTGTGCAGGTCTGGACAGAAGTGCTTTTCTCCTCTCTGTTTCTGGGATGAGGAATGGGTAATTTCAGTGAGCAGAAATGGGGGTGGAAGCCAGGCTACAAAGCCGGTGGTAACCAGGATCTTATGCTGTCTTGCCTGACCAAATACCTGGGGAGATAGATCGGTTTTCAAATCATTCCTCTGGCTTAAGGATGGGGTACTGGGAAGACACTGGCATGTGAAGGCTCCGCAGTTAAGTCCTCAGTTCCCCAGGCTGGGCACAATTAAGCAGCCAGCAGGGACAGACAGTAAAGAGGTGGGAGGTCAGGGCCAGGCTGCAGCCTTCAGTGGTAGCAGCTAAATTCTGTTGGCTGCACCTAGTGACAACTGAGGTACAGCGAGTGCTGGGAGAGGTGACACAGGACAGGCAGGCAAGCCTGTATGCCACATCAGGGCCAGCTCCAGCTCCAGGGGCTTCTGTGAAAGGACAGTCTTTCTCTTCTACTACCTTCTCTCTGTCCTTCCATTTGTCCCTCTCTTTCTTATGCCTCTGCACCCCTCATTTCCTCCTTCATGTCCTCTCCCATTCCCGCTACCACCCCTTGATGTTTGTAGAACTTTCCTAAGTAAGCCAGACAGAGGGGCTGGGCCTTGCAGACCAAGTATCTCCTCCACTCTCAACAACCCTAACTCAAGGAATCCAAAGGTCCTGTGGGGACACCGAGACTAGATACAGGTCCTCAAACTAGTCTAACAGCCCACAGCTTACACCTGGCCATCAGCCCTCAGTGCCCTCAGCCTCCAGGTCCTGCCCCAGGGGGATGAGCAGCAGGAGGAGCAAGAAGCCCATCACTCCATAGCAGCCCATTACTTACTTTTTCTTCTCTTTGTCTCTTTTCAGAGTCTGTGAGCCTCCAGCCTGGGAACCCTGAGACTGGAGGAGCTCAGCCGCCGTCTTTCTCTGTTTGAAAGCATTCACTTCATCATCCAGAGATTTCTTCTTGTCCTCCAGCTTCTTCTTCTCATCCTGGTGCAGTTTCTTTAGACAGTCAAACTTCTCATGCAGCTGACAGGAAAGCCAAAAAACACTGCAGAGTTCTCCCTAAACAGCCCCCAGTCTGACCCAGCCCAGGGTTGGAGAAATGGCAGGGTTGCAACCCTGCAGGACCCCAGGACCTCAGGACACATTTCTGCTAGGGAATACCATGACAGTGCCAAAGGGCACCGTGCTATGGGCACTTCTGCCTATCACTATCTCAAAATGTTTGCACCTGAAGTAGTAAAGGAACAATATGTTCTATCTAGTCAAATACTTTTTAAACAAATCCCCATGGTTTTTTTTACATGGTAAATAATAATATTGCTTATAATATTGAAACATTTACCAAGTGCTTATGACAGGACAAACACTGACTTAAAAATTTTTGTAATTACTTTTTTTTGCAGTGCTAGAATGGAGCCCAGGGCTTTGTGCATGCTAGACAAGCAGTCTACTACTGAGCTACAGCCCAACACTTATTTTTACCAGCACCTCATATGTATTAATTCATTTAATTGTTATAACAGTCTTAACAATAGGTTCTGCTATTATGTCCTTTTTCATTTTCAATCTTTTTTTTTTTTTTGCTGGCATGGATTGAACACGGGGTTTCACACATGCTAGGCAAATATTCTACCACTGAGCTATATCCCCAGTACTTTTTATTTTCTTATTTTGAAATAAGATCTTATTAAGTTGCTCAGGGTGGCCTTGAACTTGTGATCCTCTGCCTCAAACTCCCAAGTACTGAAATTGTAAGTGTGTACCACAGTACTTGGCCATGATGTTCATTTTTATGAGGAAACATAAGACATGAGAAATTAAGGCATTTGTCCAAGGTCAAACTGGTCTTTACAGGATTATATAATGGCATTTCCAACATGGAAGCAGTTCTTGCCTATTTTTCCTATCTTTGTGTGTGTTGTGTGTGTATGTATAGTAGTGGGAATTCATAGAGCCTTTACACATACCAGCTTGCTTCCATTTCCTCCTTCCTCCCTTTTATCTTTCCTTCCTTCCTTCCTTTCTTTCCCATTTTGAAATAAGGTCTCACTAAGTTGCTAAATTGCTCAGGCTGAGCTTGAACTTGTGATCCTCATGCTTCAGCTTCCTGCAGTTTCCTGCCCATTCTTATTCCCTGCGATCAGGAAGACTCATAATGGATCACAGAGAAAACTACAGTAATAGCAAAGCTGGTCAAGGGAAATGGAGTAAGTGTGGAAACCTCAACTTTAGCCAAAGGGAAGGCCTAACTTGTCCTGAAAAATCCAGAGACCTAAAGCACAGCAAGTGTGTTCTGGCACTCACTGTGATGTATCAGAGAGCAAGAGGCATAGATGGTCACTAACTAGAATGTGTAAACTCCCCTGACCAGAAAGAGCAGACCATGCATAGTTTTACCTTTTCTGAGGATACAAGAGAGAATTTAGGATTCTGTAACACAGTGCACAAAAAGGAGGTCAATTCTCTGATTCCTACGGATATCTGGGACTGTCATTTAGTAAGGTAGGGGGAACCACAGGCTTGTCGTCCAAACCAGCTTTTATGAGTCATGTGCGGTTGGGGTATCACTTGGGCTGCCCATCAGTAGCTTTTAGATTTCTTTGCTTCCCTGCAACTTTGCTCACTTATCTTTAAGACCCCCATGGCCTCTCCTCCTAAAGGTGCTGGCTGATGGTTTTCTCCTTAAAAGTGAAACGGAAATAAAGTCAATAATCTTGTCACAGGCCTTGGTGATAACCATCAAAAGTCACAGCAGATTAAAGGTGGAGGAGACTTGGGAAGTAATTAAGTGCTTCCTTTCTTTGTGGTTGAATATTTTGAGGCTCGAGAGATAAAACAGCAGCTGGCATGACCAAAATTATACTTTATGCCAATTGATCTGAAACCTTGGGAGCAAGGTCATGGGTAGAGGACTAACTGCATGTATTTAATCAGACCCATCAAACCTCATTTTGAAACTTCACTAGAGCTGCACAGACGATGTTTCCTTAACTCTGAAATGGAACTGCACATCCAGGTAAATGGCAAATGCCCCAACTGCTGCTGTTTTAGGTTTCAGCAAACGACCCAGGATTGCCCTGAACTAGCTTTCCTCATGGCCATCACAGAAGATGGAATGGGACAGGTCAGCCTAGAAAGTCATCAATAACCTCTACAGAATTCCAGATTTCTAGGGTAGGGAAACTAAACCATCCTGCAACTGCCTGCAAGGGCCTGACTCTAGCGGTGTTGACTTACAGAACTTTCTGTGTTACTGGAAATGTTCTGTATTTGTGCTGTTCAATACAGCAGCCACTTGCTACATGAGGAGTGAGCAGTGAAATGTACCTAATAAGAGTGAGGAACTTTATTGTATATTAGCTGGCAGTGGTGATGCATGCCTATAATCCCAGAACTCTGGGGGGCACCTGGTGTAGGAGAATCTTAAATTGAAACCCAGCCTGGGCAACTTGGTGACTTAGTGTAATCCAGTCTCAAATTAAAAACAAAAGAGGGCTGGGGATATAGCTCCGTGTTACAGAATCATTTAAACATTTGGCCCTGGATTCAACTCCCTTTCTACAAATAATAAATTTATTTTATTATATTTGAAATTGCTAAAATAGACTTTAAATGTTTCTACCACAAACATGTTAAGCACATGAAGTGACAGATTTGTTAACTAGCTTCATTTAATCATTCTGCAGTGTTAACATATATGCAAACATCGTGTGGTACTCCATAAATACATACAATTATTATTTGTCAATTTTAAATACTTTAAAATCTCACAATTTAGCCACACACAGCAACTGGCTATTGGATCTGATGGAGAGTCTCTAGAAAATTAATACAAAGTTCATATTTACCTCTTTCTCTGCCTCTTTAAGCTCTGCTTCCTTCTCTTTGACTCTCTGGACAAACATCTGTCTCATCTCCTCTTCTTTTTTCTGGAGCTCCCCTAGGAACTCATTCCTCTTGGCCTCATATGTCTCCTGTAAACTGCAAACACAGTCAGGTTAATTCCTTTACCCTCACAGACTCCTCCTCAATGAAAACTGGCCAGGTACCCACCCTTGAGTTCCACCATCCTCCTTTCCCCACTTCAGACAGAGATGGCGAAAACAGAATGCCAAAGTGGTGGGCAATCACTTTGGCACATGAGAGCAGGATCACAGGGCTATTTGGGGGGGTATGAGGTAACCCTGGTGAACTGGTGAGACTTAAAAATCTGGATCTATACCCTCACTTTACACATGAGAAACCTGAGGCCCATAGAGGTCAAGCGACTCATTTAAGATCATATAGTTAATTAGAGGCAGCACTGGGACCAGAAGCTGTGTCTCCTGTTTCTTTATATGGGCTTCCACTGTGCTATGTCACCGGGCCCTGACTCTGAAACCGCCTGCATGAGCTCACCACTCCAACCAACATGTTCTGAGTCTCCACCCCGTGACAGACACAGTACTGATGCTATTCTAGTCACTCAGCACTTATAGCCAACAGCTTCCCCGCCTGCCCTTGAACTCACAGTCTGGTGGGAGCTTCCTGGGCTGAGCCCCCTGCCCCTGTCCTGAACTTACATTTCAAAAAACAAGAGTTAGCCTGGTGAGGAAGAGGAGGAACAGAACTGCAGGAAGGGTGGCTTGTGTGAACGTGCACGTGGAGACAAAATGGCATTCCTGGGGAGTCCGCATAGCCTCACAGGCCGGAGAGCACTAAGCTGAAGAGGAGTGGGAGGGAGGTCCCAGAGTTTGTCAGGGGAAGGCAAGGCTCTAGATGCCCTATGAAGGAGATGAGCATGGACCCATTGCATGGTTTAAGCAGGACTGACTGGATCCAATCAGAAAGTGAGAAACAGTGCCCTGGCTGTTTGGGGAAAAAGATACTTTGCAATGACTCAGGTACAAAACTGAGGGATCCCCACATGAAGGGATGACAGGGAGTAGAGGGAGCTGCAGAAGCAGGACTGGGGAGGAGGCAAAGACGATCCTGGCTTTTGGCTTGGACAACCAAGTAGATGGTGGTACTGTCAGGTACAATGGAAAACCCTGGAGGAGGAGAACACTTAAGGGGGAAGAAGATGAATCTGACTGTGAACAGCTCAAGTTTAAGGTGGGGCCTCTATGGGATGTCTGAGTGGAAATGGCTAGTATATAGATGGATCAATGAGTTCACAGCTCGCAAGTAAGATTTTAGCTTGCGAGCTACCTACTTTCAGGTGATAATTAGGGCTATGAAAGGAGAAAGAACAAACTGCAAAGAGAATAGAGGGAGAGGAGCAGAGACCCTAAGAACATTTAAAGAACTTGAAGAAAATGAACTGCAAACAAGGCTGAGAAGAATCAATGAGAGGAAGAGAGAGAAGGATAAAGCCAGCCAGGCCAGTACTAGAAAAATCAAAGCCAGATAGCAGTGCAAGGAGGAAGCAATGGGGATTAGTATGACGTGCAGTACATTAAGATCAAAGAGGATGGGACTCAAAAGTTGCAATGAGATTGGCCCAAAGAGAGAGAAGCACTTCCATGGAGAGCTCTTGGAGAGGCACTTCCATGGAGAGCTGGGGGCAGAAGGCAGCCGTACTGGGCTGAAGAAGTAAATGAGAGGAGAAAGGAGGCTGGTAAACATAGAACAACTCTTTCTCTTTCTGCTCAGGGCCTGGCTTCCTGACAATGCACTGTAAAGGGTTCTTGGAAGAAGAGCGAAGAGGATAAGAGTCAGGAACACAGGTATACAGGATGGAGCAAAGGACAATGGGACAGGACTGATCGACCAGTTAGAGGCTAACCTCCTCCTCCACAGAAGCATGAAAAGCTGCCAGAGGCAAGGAGAGGATCAGCTAAGTAAGGGAGCTCCCACCAGTAGATTGCATGCCTTCCTCCAGCCCAGGTGGTCCTTGCAGTGACATGAGGCTGCCTGGCTGAAGCAACAGCCCTGAAGGATGGACTGTGCTTTGCTCCAGGCCAGCTTTCCACTTTGATCAGGTAGTGTGGGACCTCAAGACCATGTGAAATCCCTCTGTGTCCACAAACATCCTCTTCACTTGCTTACTGATACCTGACATTTCCTGAAAGGAGACCAAGCCACGAAATGTAGGGCTACATAAGCACATAGAGATCAGACACACTTCAACTTGATCTGTCGCCCCCATCTGCTTAAATAAACTGATTCTAAAAACATTTTCTGGGCTACGGGTTTAGATCAATGGCACAAGAGCCTGCCTGGCAAGCACAAGGTCATAAGTTCAATCTCTGGTACCAAGAAAAAAATTTTCCCTTCTCCAAAAGCATCTTAGACTCTGATTTGAGAAATACGTCAATGAGATTCCTATCCTGTGGCAAGAACAAAACTTGCACTTGAATTGCAGACACTAGGGACAGTGAATGAGGAGACTGTATGCATCAACATGGGGAAAGTAACTCCTACCTACTTGGTCCCAAAGTGGCTGCTACCTGGCTTTTTCTTGTTTTTTTTTTTTTTTTTATTTATTTGCCTGTTTGTTGTTCCTGCAGTGCTTGGGGAGGAACCCAGGGCCTCACATAGGCTAGGGAAGTACTGTACCACTGAGTCACTCTTCAGCCCTCCTATCTGGTTTTGAGAATGGGGTCAAGGGTAAAGAACAGACTAGAAGAAACCTGTCTGTGCAGCAGGAGCCTGATGAAGGAAATGGGGCACAGGACAGTTATTAACTGCCACTCTGTGGAACTGAGTCCCCTCCCGGCCCTCCCCTCCAGCACAGCTGATTCGAACTGGCATGTGTGGGGAGAGATCCACCATGCTGCTTCTCTAGGTCTCCTCCCCACCCTCGCTACCCACCCACACAGTGCTCCCGGCAGGTGTGTGAGGCTGACAGAAGGGGCAGCAGAATCAACTAGCTCATGCCCTCGCCTAGCCCCGCTTCCCCTGTGCATTCGCGGAAGAAAAGGCGTCCACACCACAGCTTAGCCAAGCTGGCCTGGCCTGGCCTGGCAGGAGCAGTACCTGAAGGGTTTGCTGTCAGGGTCAGTGTCCTTGAAGCCCATCTCCTCCAGCTTACAGCGGCGGTACAACTCATAGTGCCGGGTGTGGGTCTGCTCCCGCAGATCCTCCATGTTGACACGAATCAGCATCTCCCGCAGCTTCACAAAATCGCAGTGGGCCTCATTTTCAACTGCACAGCAGGGGTTGGGATATTGAAAGTACAGTGAATGGAAGGCCAGCAATGGATGACATGAGGCAAAAGTCTAACAGGGACATCACCTTGTCACTGGCCATACAGAGCCTGGGAATTTACCTCCTTACTCACTTTTCTACTGAAAATGGAAACGAAAAGTTATAAAAATGATAGTAGTGAAAAACCACAATATTATAAATATTATCTAAAGATCTTCAAAAGCCTCTAAACCCACAATTACTAATCAGATCCTCATAGGAATGTCTGATCTGTGCCTCTTTGTGGACAAATAGTGCATGTGTTTCCAAGCATCCATCCAACCATCCAATAAATATTTGTGCAACCTGTGTTCCCAGTATTGTATGGGGGCCCTGGGAATTCAGAAACAAAGTCATGAAGTCTTGCTCTCAGAAGCTTACAGTTGCATGGAATAGATGTAAATAGGTAAATGCAATACAATGCAAAAATTACAAAAGGAGGGATAGCTGAGGTCAGTGAAAGCCCAGAAGAGGGACTACAAACTCAAAACTCCTGGGAGACTAGAGGCCTCATCAAAGAGACAGCCTCTAGGATGACTCTGGAAAGAACAGACACTTACCAGGCTGATCTCTGTGAGACAAGGCAGGGTTATATGGCTAGTGAGTTGCCGAGTTAAGGCTGGAAGCCAGGCAATATAGGAGAGGTATAATGGCTAGGACCAGGTGACCGAGTCTCCAAAGGATAGGGGGAAAGAACTAGGATATAAATGACAGTGACAAGAGGGTTGCCCGTCTGGACAGTAAAGGCTGAGAGGTCAGCAGAGGGTTGACAATGGTCTAACAGCAGCAGTGATGCACAGGAGAAAGTGGACCCTACTTTCCATTGTGAATAAATAAGCTTCCATCTCATGAGAGCATGGCAACGGTCTGTATTTTGGGCAGTGGTCAAGAATGACAGAGATGTGGACTAAATCACAGAAAAGCAGATTTCTAGCCAAAACAGATCATAAGCAGGGCTCTATGAGGGTGCCCTCAGGCATGTGCTATTGATGGCATCTGGCCTGACCAAATCAGAAATGATAAATAAGTGGCATCTGAAATGATAAATAAGATCAGCCACCCCAGATTTCACCTTGCAGGGGAGAGGGTAGTGAGGTTAGAAAGGGGGTGAGTGAGATGACAGGACTGGGCATGCCTGGAGTAGATGGCTTGTAGTCATCAGAAGAATCTTTCTAAAGCCCAAATGAGCCCACATAACCCCTCTGTATAATCCCCACTGCATTAGGATACCCCCCTTCTTGCTGTCGTAGAACTGTTAATATTAAAAATCCCATCAGAAGGTTACTTCTCAGGACCATGCTAGGTGCTATTAGCTCCTCCATCTCTGGATGGTGATCCCTGGTGGTCAGTCAAAAGGTGATTACAAGGCCTCTGCAGGCTGTCCAAGAAATACACAACTTCTTCCTTCAAAATGAACAGTCAATTCAAATTTGTAAGAACACCCTTCAAAAAAGCCAGCTGGGGGACGTCACTGGAACCACATGCTGGCTTCTGTCCTCTCACCTTAGGTTGCTGTCTCTTAGCCCACAAATTCATTCCCTGAGTGAAACTGGTGGTCTGGGAAGCATTTACCAATGTTCCTAGCGGAGCATCCCTAGTCCCAAGTGGCAGAGAAGAGCTGAAGTTATCACAGCTCTGTAACTAACCTTGCTCTGCCTATAAATAGTTCAAGCTTAAGGACTGCTCAGTGTAAACTGTGAAGTAATCATACATATGGAAAAAGTGCATAAAATGTGTATATGCTACTTAAAGAATTTTTAAAAATTAGCACTGGTGTTTCTACAACCCAGGTGAAATATTCCTAGGACTTTAGAAGCCCCTTCACGCCCCTTTCCAATCTCATACGCACGTCTCCTGGCAATGAATCTTAACCACTAGCCTGACTTTGGGACTCATCATTCATTTTCTTTCCTTTACAGTTTTACCACTTATGTTTAGATTTCTAAAAATACATACAGGATCTTATTTAGTTTTGCCTACTTTTGGAATTCATAAAATTCAATCCTACATTATATTATTCTTCTCTGATTTATTGAGCTCTACATTATGTTTCTGAGACTCATGGAGATGTAATTGTAGTTTATTAATTTGCTATTTGATATCTCATTTATGACTATTTCACAATTTACTCAGTCTATTTTCAGCAGCTTCCTGAGTTGTTTCTAATTACTTGTCATGTTGAACAACACTGCTATGAACATTCTCGTACATCTCCTGTGCTGTCAAGCAAATACACTTACTTTCTTGTACACTCCTTCCTTGCTTTAAATCCACTTGCTTATGTTTTATGAGCGCTTTCTCTACTAGAGACAAAGGAGTGGGCTCCCATTAGAGGACACAGGTAGGGAGCCAGAGTTTGCCTGCTAGTCACCTCTGTAGCCATTTGAGACCAAAGCTGAATGAACAGTGGCCGGGACAAATTAGGGATTTGTCATACAGTGGCTGGGAGAGGCAAAAAGGAAAGCAGAAGGGGCTCTAGAGTGCATCCCATCTGGTAGGGACTCACCCTGAACAGTGCCCCAAGGATACTGCCGTGCCTTCATCATCTTGTTGCCTATCTTCAGTTCTTCCGTGCTGCCAATGACAGCAAACGGTAGGTGTGCCTGAAACAGAAGGAAAACAAATGCTCAGAACTGCAAAGGAAAGGCACTACACATCCCATAACGCAACCGCTGCTCATCTCTGGGGCCTTGGGCCCTCACTGTGCAATGTCACTCACTGCTGTCAATCAGCTAGAGGCACTGATAAGGTTTCTGAGCCAATCATGTGGGGATAGGAAATCTACTCCTAGCTCCTGCTGCTCAGAAATTCACAGTAGATAAGAATGACATGGTCAAAGGCATAGGGAGCAGACAGAAAATAAGCAGAATAATAAGCAGACACACAGATTAGCAAAACTGTTCCCTCGGCAGAGCTGCAATGAGGGGAAGAGCTTTGGGAAGGGGATGGGAAGTGGTGTGGACAGAGATGATAAGGGAGACAGAGAGGGCTGTGATCAATAGCCCTTCCTCCTCCCACAGCTCGAGATCCTTGAGAATGAGCCACAAGGCTGGCTGAGTCATGTTATCCTTGCTCTAGTCCTTCCCTGGAACAAGAGCTCACATTGAGGTGAGATGCCTTGCAGGCAAGTCACCAAGTATCGCCCACATGCTGTGCCATTGCTGATTTCCATCAGCTTCACCCATGTGACACAAAAAAGCTAAGAGGCAGAGATGGCAGAGGGCTGGACCGAGGGAGGAGGCGAGGAAGAGAAGCTGTGTTGTGCTGCCACTCATCCTGGGCTCTCGGATCTAAGGGATGAGGAGGAGGCGGGTAAAGTAGGAGGCACTTCTCTGAGCTCAAGAAAAAGGAGGAAAAAAACCCAAAGAAAATAAAGGCATACAAAATGCCAGTCTTCCCTGGGGCTGTTATTTTCAACATCAAGAGACATTGTTAAAATGACAGGGTCACTTGTTTCCTCTCATTCTCAAACTGCTGTCATTTGACTCCTCCAGCTCTCTCTTGTTCTCAGCACACAGCCCCACCAAGCTGAACTCAGGGGCCTTCAAGACCTCCCAACTCCACTCACCTTTGAAACCCACATCTTCGGGATCTGTTCTGACAAATGTATGAGAGCAGGTCGCTGCTGCTCTCAGCACTGGACCACTCCTATTTCATCTGATTCTCACTACAGCCTTACAGGTCCTCATTCATGGTGGGACAGAACTGGGACACAGAGGTTAAATAGGGTACCCTGGGCTGGGGATTTAGCTCAGCGGCATAAGTGCCTGCCTGGCAAGCGGGAGGTCGTTGAAAGGATTTTTCCCTTGATGGGAAGCTGCAGCGGTGGGAGGTTGGGAGGCAGAACCAAGAGGCTCTATCTTGAGGTCACCTTCCCCGCCCCCAAGCAATTTACCTGGGACGCGAAATGAATTCCAATGGGCTACCTGTGCGTCAGTAATGCCCCTTGGCTCCACCCCAAACCTAGCTACATGTATGTCCCTACACCACATGTGGGGCAGAGAGAAAGCCAGGCACCGGAGGTCATGGAGTCTCTCTCCACATTCTTCAAATAAAGGCCACTTTTATTTCATACTTCTTATCTTTTTAGCCACGCCCAAAAAATCTGTCAGTCGTGAGTTCAATCTCTAGTACCAAAACAAAAAAGATAAATAGGGCACCCAACCCCAATCCCCCATGCCTAGGTCTTCCCAGGGAGCACTGAGGCCAGTGCGTTTTGCCAGTCTGCCCCAGCCACTTAGGGTGGCCTGTGCTCTGCTTCCTGGCTAGATGGCATCTGCCAGAAGTCAGCTAACTGTGCTAGGCAGGAGATCACAGAGACCAGGCTCTGACCCTATCTCCTGCTGCTTTTGAGAGACATAGACACACGGCTATGGCAACCAGAATGGAGTCAAGCAGGACAGGGAGAAGACAAACTTCCAACCACACTCCCAGGTCCTACCCAGGGGACCTAAATCCAAGGTCAAGCATTCTCTTCTTTCTCCCAGGTCTCTGCAGGAGACTGATGGGTGACATTTGTATGTGTGAACCCAGGAAGGAGCCTGGCAGCTGCAAGTCAGTACAGCTGCTGACAGCCAAATCTCTAAGGAGGTGGCCTCAGGGGTCAGCTCTGCCAGCCACAGGGAGCTCCAATGAGACACCTTCAAACTTCCCCTGGTGCATCTGCTCCTAGACCCACTACCTTCTCAATCTACCCCATCCTGCTACAACAAAACAGCTCCGGCTGGGTCATGTATAGAGAACAAAAATGTATTTCTTATAGTTCTAGAGGCTGAAAAGTCCAAGATCAAGGCACAGGCATATTTGGTTGTCTGGAAGGGGCTGCATGATACCTTTTAAAAATTTTATTTACTTATTTATTTATTTATACAGGGTCTCTCTATGCAGTTGAGCCTGGCCTTGAGCTCACTTTGTAGCCCAGGCTGGTCTCAAACTCACAGTGATCCTCCTGCCTCAGCCTCCCAAGTGCTGGGATTACAGGTGAGTCACCATACCCTGCAAAGGCTTTTTTTGAAATTAGAATTTTAATCCCATATCCTAATCCATAAATTAGGATTTTAATTCCTCATTGAGGAAGCAGCCCCCATGGACTTGTCTCCTAATACTATCACATGGGTGTCACTTGGATTTTGCAGGGGACACATTCAAAACATAGCACTAGCTACACTATCACATGTCTTTCTTAAATTCTTCTTGGTACATTTTAAAGTTTCTGATGCTCCAAGTGGTGTGATGTATTCTATTCTCATTCCACCACAACCAATATGCTTGGGAGAAAACATGAACATTTATTTTTTCCCTTGGCACTAGGGAGTGAGCCCGGGGCTTTTACACTGAACTGTATTCCCAGTCCTTTTTATTTTTGAGATAGGGTTTCGCTAAGTCACTAAGTTTCACAGGCTAGGCTCAAATTTATGATCCTCCTGCCTCAGCCTCCCAGAGTGCTAGGAAAATATTCTCTTTAGTTCTGTGAAATACTGTCTAGATCTCGTCTGGTAAGAATAGCTCTACTGGGCTTGGCTTCTTCCAGGGCAGTGTTTCCCAGCTGTAGCTGGCTATGCTCACCCCTATATTCAGGCTCCTATTGGAAGCTGAACAAAGCCATTGCCCAATGTGTTCTCCAGTGGACATGCAAACAATGGTAACACCACTGCTGTCTCAGGAGAAGGAATAGACTTGAGCCTGGGGCTCTCCCTGTGACCCCATTGGTCAGTCATGTGCTCGCACTGTGCTCAAGTGCCAAATTCCCTTCTGGGAACCAAACCCAGCACCTTACAAATGGCCAACCATCTAACCACAGTCAAGTACTCGAACTGCATCTGTTCCTTGGTCCTTGGCTATAATTTGAGCCATTCCAAGAATAGTATGAAAGTTAAACATAACACTTTTTAGTATAGAAGTCTACAATGTTTTTGTTTGTTTGTAGCATGGCGGATTAAACACAAGAACTCAAGCCTGCTAGGGAAACACTCTACCACTGAGCTACATTCCCAGCCCATTTTACATTTTCTTTTGAGACAAGGTCTTGCTAAATTGTCCAGGCTAGGCTCAAACTTGGGATTCTCCTGCCTTAGCCTCCCGAGTAGCTGGGATTACAGGCATGCGACAATGAGCCTGGGTAAAGTCTTCGACCTAGAGAGAGATAAGAATGTGGGTTAGAAGTAATGGGCAACAAGATTTTTCTCTTTCTCTCTCTCTATTCTTTTAACACCTTGATCTAAAATAAGGTTCTCCAGAGCTGGCCATAAACCAAGGAGAGACCGAGGCCTCATCACTTTTACTTTGGACAGGAAAGCCCGGGGTGGGGTTGGGGTGAGCAATAGGACGGCTGTGCAATCTTCCCTGCAAAGGGTTTCTTCCACTTTTTCCAATCTGGGCCCCATGGCAGTGGGCTAGGGAGCCTGAGGCCTGGGCCCTAGAAACAAATCCAGACTCAAAAGGCTGGGACCCATCCCTCCTCCTACCAAAGCCCAGGTCTCTATGATGCAGCTTCAGACACGACGGTGTGTCCAAAGACTCTGCAGCCTTTGAACACGGGTATTCCGGGAGGAGGCAGGCTATGCAATCCTGCGTATTTATTTGCTAGCCATGGCTTTCCCTCCTTCCCCCACCCCAGCACAGCAACACAGAGGATTCCCAGTCAGGCTCAATCCCATGCCAATGGAATGAGAGGCTGAGGCTATCTTTCTAGCTCAGCAAAGCACAGTAGAATGCGGGCGAGTGAGTGGCCAGCCTTATTCTAGGGATAACCCTGAATGCATTCAAATTTAGTTTTCCAAAGTGAAATAATGGGCAATGTCAGGCTGTTCTGAGTAACACAACCCATAACCCCTCACAGCCCTAACAGTGCAGTTGAAAGTTGCTGCTTCATAGCATGGGGTTTCCCACCTCAAGGGTGATACTACCGTAGGCTCAAGCAGGAGGCCAGAACAGAGCTGAGCCCAGGATGATTGCTGCTCCAAATCCACAATGCAGTGAGATATGCTTTTATGTGACACCTTGACTGCCGAGAAACCACCATGTTTTTTGTCCTGAGCAAAGCAAACCATAAGCCTGAATGCTGCTGGGTGACTCAGGGAACTGGATTTTGAAAGATAGCTGGTGCATAGTGTCCTGAGATGACTGAGTCTGGACTCTGATGCCAGAGACACCAGGCGACACTTCTCCACAGGCTGGTGTGTTTCTGCACATGAGGCACCTTTCAGGCTTGCTTCTCATCACAGAACCTGTCTCCATCAAAATGCTTTGACTGCTGGGAGGACAAGGACTGATCTTTTCCATTTTTTCCATGCCCACATCAGATCACCGAGGATGTAGCTCCAGCTACCACAATCCAAATAACCTTACCCTTGAGCCAGATTTGTCAAAGTTGACAATGGACTTCTAATAACAAGCCTATCTCTGTGGACAGATGGGCAGGAAGTCAAGCCTGAGACAATGACTTGCTGCCCTGCTATGCTAATTTGTTGGCCAATTCACAGGAGGTGGCAGCTGATGCCCTAATGATAACTTAGAGGCCAGTGGCAGCAGGAAAATTTTCTAAAAATGGCTTTTATTATGAGGCGTTCTTGAGTTTGGCTACCCCCAAGCATTATGTCATTAGGAAAAACTGATGCCTCTCAACAGAGAAAAAGAAATCTGTTCCCAAAGCAGAGGCTTTCTGAAAGCTATTAGCTGTCTCCCTGAAATCACAACATTGAGGCTTTTGCAGCACCAGCATCAACACATTGTAAAAAAGCATGAGGAGATGTTTGACTCTCTGCCTTCCCTATTACTCACTCCTCTAGTAGGGAGAAGTGGGGGAGGAAAGAAAAGAGGACTTTAAAAAATCCATTCATACTTAATAAAGCAAAGCACAACCTTGATACTTAAGGTTGTGCCTCTAGTCACCAGCAAATAGGAGACTATATATCACTGCTCCTTCCAGGGTCATGGGGCTGGGTTATTTGAGTATGGATTAATCCCCAGTTTACGAAGCCTGGTATCTTTTTCAGCCTTTTCATCTTTCAGTGCATCCATTGTCCTGGCACTGTTCCGCCTTTCCTGCATTCTCACAGGGGCTGCCTGGTCTGGCCTAAGGCAGATCAGAAAGGTGGCTAGAAAGAGAAGGCTGAATTTCCTGCTTCACTCTGTGCCTAAAGTCTGTCTTTCCCTTGGGTTTTGCAACTGATTGCTGCATTTCTAGTCTTTGTGGCAGCCACCACTAGGAGAGAGGAGCTGTTTTAATTCTGGATTTTCTCTCATCAGGTAACCAAGAATCAACTACAGCCAGGTGTGATGGTACATGCCTCTAATGCCAGCACTTGGGAGGCTGAGGCAGAAGGATTGCCATGAGTTCAAGGCCAGGCTGAAATGCATAGCGAGACCCTGTCTCAAAAAGAAAAAGAAAAAGAAAAAGAGTCAACTACAAGCCAGACTGAGTTGTGCATGCCTGTAATCCTAACTAGTCAGGAGGCTGCTGAGGTAGGAAGATTGCAAGTATAAGGCCAGCTGGGCAACCTAATTAACAAGTTCCTGTCTCAAAACAACAAAATTGAAAGGGCTGGGGATGTTTTTTAGTACTAGAGTGTGCCTAGGTTTGATCCCAGTACTACAAAAAAGCAAAATAAAAAAAGTCAGTCACCCTAAGATGGCTGGTGAAGGTATGTCAATGCTAAGCTATTTTGTGAAATACTACAGAGCAGAAGCAAGCACCTCCCCTCCTCGGTAAGCGGTGGTGGTCTGGCAAACTGCGGCCCTTCCAGGGAGAGAATCAGCAGCAGCTCCTGAGATCCACACCATGTTGGAACTTAGGACGCTGTGAAACCAAACAACCAGCCTATCTCCCTGCTAAGCAATAGTGAACCTACTGATGCACAGCCTAGAGTCAAATATCCCATTCCCCTATCCCCCTTCTCCCCCCCCCCCGCCCCCGCCGCCCATTAGCAAATGGGAACCAGAAATCTGAGTGTCTCCTGGGAGGTTGACCATAGCAAATAAGGGGGACTTCCTTCTACCATCTATTTGAAGACAAATATTTTTATTACTGTTTTGCTCTTTTCTGATTAATGGTACTGCTCTATTCAATATTCTGTTTTAATAAGTTCTATATTTCATCTCATTTTGATATACGTGATTGAAAGAACAACTATTATAAAGATAACAAAATATACTGTGATGCCTATTACTGTTATCCCGGTAACCTGCTGTGAAGTTCTGTACCAATTTCACTGTACGATCTTAGTTGGCTTTATTCGGTCTCATTCTGTTGTATACTTTTAAAATAAAGTTAAAAAAATACTACAGAGCAAATGGCCAGAAAGTTGAGTCCCCAATGCTCCAACTCACGTTCATGGTTCCATTGATCTCTGCCACCGATTCATCATCTGTAGGGAACTGATAGATCTGGACTCCATTGCTGACAAGTTCGCTGGTGATTTTGATTTTGAACTTTGTTAGCTCGCTCTTAGAAATAGCATCTGATTTGGCAATGATGGGTATGATGTTCACCTAGGGGAAGGAGGAAGAAAGCGGGAACACTGGGTAAATGGCACCTGATAGCAGCCTGTCTTGTTACTTCCTCCTTATCACTGGGACAAAATATCCGACACCCACAATTTAAGGGATGGGAAATTTATTTTGGTTCATGGTTTCAATCCATGGTTTAAGACAGAAACAGGATCACAGAGTGCATGGTGGAGAAGGCATTCAACCTGTGCTGGCCAAGAAGCAGAGACAGAAGGGAGGAGCCTGAGAGGGAGATGATTCCTTCCAGGTCATGCACCTGGAATCCCAGTCCCCCTGACCAGAGCCCAGCTCCAAACAGCATATTGAGCTATGAACACACCAATGGACTAACCCACTGATGAGAACCGTGCCCCGTGATTCAATCACCTTCTTAATACAGGAGGATTTAGGGGGACATTTTAGATCTAAATGAAAAGCAGCATGTCCTAGGATTTCTACCACTGTTCACTGGTCTAGGAGTGGCCAATTCTGCAGCTAAATAACCTGCTAATAAACAGTAATGAGTACTTATTATATGCTGGGCACTGAACTAAATACTTTATATGGCTCAACATAATCTTGACAATAACTTTCTCAGGAGTTCATCATTAGCACTGTTTCACCAGTTGAGGCATTGAGAGGTTAATTAAGCAACTTGTCCAAGGTCACAGAGCAGATAAATAGCAGAACTGAGATTCAAATCCAAGTTTAGCCCTATTCCTAATTTCATGGTGCTAACCATGAGTCTCTATCAGTTCAGAGCCAAGGTGATGAGCTGTGTTGTATCTTGGTGTCAAGGTCACTACTGAGCTGTCTGCAGCAGAAAGGTGACACTTGGCAATCTGCAGCTGACAAGGGGAGAGGTGACTGACTACTCCTTGCTAATGGTGAACCGTTCCATCAATCCAGTGCAGCTGGGCTGGGCCCAGCCAAGCATGCTATGGACTTGCAGGGGGAATTCAAGAAAGGGAGGCACAGGCTGTGCTCAGGGAGGACACACAGAGTCAGAGTCAAGAGTCAGAGACAGAGACAGAGACAGAGACAGAGACAGACAGACTGTTTGAGTCCCATCATGAATTTATAGGTAAAGAAAACAGGTGTGCTGCTACTTGGAAGACTGAAATTATCCCAAAATTAAAAAAAAAAAAATTAAAAGGGCTCCATAAACCAGGCAAGGTGGTGCTCAACTGTATCCCAACACTTGGGAAGCTGAGGCAAGAGGATTGCCATGACTTCAAGGCCAGCCAGGGCCACATATTGAGTTCAAGGCCAGGTTGGAATACATAGTGAGACCTTGCCTCAAAAAAAAAAAAAGGAGGGTAGGACCTGTGGATATAGTTCATTACTCCATGAATTCAATCCTCAGTACTCACCTTAAAAGAAATTAGGTATGAATGCCCAATTTCAGACGAGAAAGGCCACCCCAAGATTTACCCCACTGGAACCCCAATCCTTGAAATTCCTCTAACAAAGAAGAGATGAGGCTTTTACAGTCAGAGGTAAAGAAAGTTGACATACACATGGCTTTGAGAAGCAGAGCACCCCCTGTCATGGTTTATATCTGTGTCCCCCAGGCCTCATGAGTTTGCACTGTCCATTTGTGATGGTTTATTGTCTAGTGCTTGGATTGATGGTATCATTGCTCCACATAGGGGTGGAGCCAGGATGTGATGTAATGGCAGGAAGAAGGTGTGTCTTGCTCTTTGTTGGTTTGAGCTCGCTGTTTGCAGCCGCCATGAACTGCGGTCCAGCCATGCCCACCTGCCTTGGAGCTAACTAAGTGTAGACTGAAACCTCCAAAAAAACTGTAAGAAATAAACCTTTCCTTTCCCAACTTTGGGCATCAGGTATTTTGTCTCAGCGATGAGCATAAAGTGACTAAGACACCCCCTAAGCTCAGGTTCCCACACTGAGCACAGCCATTCCTGCTAGGAGACCCTAGTAGGGCGGTGTGAGTGGTGCTCAGGCACTGGGCTCTAAAATGGGGAACTGGGAGCTCTAGAGTGGGAAGAGAAGCCCTGTTCCTTGATGCTTTGGCTTAGGAATGCCGCTGGGTACTGACACCATGTGGTGCTTTAGGATGAGGTCAGAGAAAGATTGGGCCTTGGAGTCATCTCCTTTGAATTCTCTGGGGGAGTACGAGGTGTCAACACTCTCCCTAAGGTGGAAAAACATGAATTCAGTTCTCCTTGTTGCTTTTTGCCAAGTGTACTATTAAACATATATTAAAGCTGCTTACTTAATGCAGCCCACCCATCAGGCCACTAGCAACATGGCTCTCTGCTGTCCTATGCAGAAACATGCCAGGCATGGTGACATTTTAAGAGCAGTCTATTACTCATGAGAACTAAGCTCAGTGCTGTGAAAAACGAAAAAAACCCTATTTTGATTATAGCTAAAATTCAGTTTATATAATGGATATGCTACCAAATGACTATGTATAAACATCAGATATTTGTAAATACTTTGGAGTGAGAGAGAGCTGGGACCAAATTCCAGATCCATTATGAGTTGTCTGGCCTTGAGTAACCTACTTGCCTCTATGGCCCTCTTTTTTCGCTTACAAAAAATGGAAATAATAATAACAGTACCCACCACACTAGATTACAGGGAGGAAAATAAAATAATGCATACAAAGTGCTCATCACAGTGTCTGCTACAGATTAAATGTTATAGCAAAAAGTGCTCATAATTAGGCTTTTAAAAGAATCCCATGGTCAATTTGTACAGCACATCATCCTTTAATTTATCTAATTTAATTATTTATCTAATTTAAATAATCCTTTAATCTGTCTAATTTATATATGGTATGGGATTTACATTTTTCAGTTTCTCTTAAAGCAGGATGTGCCTAATAGAAACAGATCTATGTTCAAATCTAGATTCTTCCCAGCTAGCTATAGACAACAGGCATGTCACTGAACCTCTCAGTCTCAGTTTTCTCCTCTGTAAAATGGGGATCATCATAGTGTTTAGCTCACAGGGGTGTGAGGGTTCAATGAAATATTCTATGAGGTACTTAACTCAGTAGTGGTTTCTAATGAGGGTTTAACAGATGGTATCTGCTATTATGAAAATTAGCAATAACTTTCCAAATCAGATTTGCAGATGCGATTCATTAATAAGCCAGTTAATATCAGAACAGAAAAAACTTTTCTATAGTCAAAGCCCATGCCTTTGGAGCTGGCTGACCATCTTATATGCATCCACCTTTATTTTCAAGAGGAATCAGTGCACAAAGACATCTCAGGGCAAACCCACCCCCAGTACTGGGAAAGCAGATGACAAAGCATGTGACATAAGTACTTGGCTCAACAACACTGCCTTTGGAGGGAGACAGGGAATGAGGAGAGAATGAGGATGCCATGAAACCTCTACTAGAATCCAACACCTGATCTCCCATCAGCTCCACCCCTACCTCCATACCTTACTGTCCAGCTTCTTCATCGTCACCAGGTCTAGAGACTTCAGGGAATGCCCTGTGGGGGCAATGAAGTACAAGCAGGCATGGATTCGGGAGTCATGGTACGTGTGCAGCACCCTCCGGATCTTCAGCTCCTCCTGCAAGTAGGCCTCAAACTGCGCGTCGATGAATTCCACGATGGGTTTGTAGCTAGAAGGGACGATGGGGAGATGATTGGACTCCTTGAAGAACCTAGACTGTGATACAGTCCCTTCTATAAATGTAAAGTGCCTCCCATAATCTGACTCTTATTCATCCAACTGGGTTTCTTTGTCGACCCTCAGTGGGCTTCCAATTCTGTCAGCCAAGGCCACCTTTTTGGCCTTCATATGAATCTCACTTACACTCATCTGTGTACCTTCACACCGGAATACTCATTTCTCTCTGCTCAGTCCAGTCCTCCTCATCCACAGGTCAGGACTCAGTTGTCCTTCCTCTAACCTTCCCCATTTATGCCAGAAACCTTCTATGACATGGGAGTGCAAAGAAAACTATGCCCAGGTGTGGGGCACATGTCTGTAATCCCAGCACTCAGGAGACTGAGGCAGGAGGATCATTTTGAGTTTAAGAGTAGCCTGGGTTACAAAGTGAGCTCGAGGCCAGCGTGAACTACACGGCAAGACCCTGTTTCAAAAAGACCAAAAAAAATTTGTGTGTGTGTGTGTGTGTGTGTATATATAAAATAAAGAAAACTGTGATATAAACACTTGTGTTTGATTGGGGTCCTCCTGAAGGGGAGGGCCTGCTCAGGACACTTCCTATTCTCCATGGGGCCCTAAGGCAATGTGGAGCCCACCTGCAAGATCTGCCATTGGGCTAATTTTCCTCCACACTGGGGCCTTGTCCACTTCCTGTGTCATGGCTGCTCTGCCTTTGATGGAAGCTGGGTACACAAGACCTCTCCTCGATCCTGCTGGGGAATCCTGTCAGAACGCTGTGGGGTCTTTGCTCATTCTTGCTAGGTCGAGTTAAGTACCCTACTCAGTTCTCCTAAGGTCCACGTATTTTTCAAGTTCTCATTTCCTCCATGATCTTCACTTTTATTGTTAGTTTGTATATATATCTCCATCATGCTTGCATGCAATACTAGGGATGGAATCCATGGCCTCTGCACTGAGCTACATCCCCAGCCCTTCTGTTATTTTTTATTCTGAAACTGGGTCTTATTAAGTCCCAGCCTCCCCAAGTGCTGGGATTACAGGTGTGTACTACTGTGCCTGCGCGAATTGTGACTTTTAAATATAATTATTCAGACAATATTTGGTAAATATACCACCTCCACCATCTGCACACATACTCGTGTGCCCCAGCCTGCTGAGTCACCATGCACAGCTTCCCCAAGTGGTTCCCAAGTCTCACGATGACTTCTTTACCAATTGTCAGTCCTCTGCTGTACCCTGGCCTAGGCTTCCCTGGAGAGCTTCCATTTTCCCTGCTCTGTCGGGTCTCTGCCTGGGCCATCCCTGCTGCCCCTCCGGCCTCTTTCTGCCCTAAGTAGGTCAGCTCAGCTTCCACCTGCCTCTGTTCTCGCTCCCCCACACCCATCCGTCCGCTGCATCTCCATCCAAGGGGTTGTCTCCCTTCAGGGAAAAAGAGGTTTGCCCCGTGAGTGCAGAGCAAGGGGCTCTGCATCTACCACTGCCAGAGGGGAACACGACCAAAGAAGAAGCTGAGCCCAACAAATGCCACCCGCTTGCAGCAGCCCCATCCTGAGCCTTTTTGAAAGAGCCCCCTAGTAGAGAAAAGGAAAACAGCATTTAAAAAAAGAACCACAGAATCCTAGATTCTGAGAGCTACACACAGAGAAGAGATCCAGGTGCAGGAGCCTCAAAGAAAATCTAAAAATATAGTCCTAACTTTCTTCTTTTGATTCCTCTCAGCCAGCACTTTTCTGAAAGGTAACAGCATCAAAGGATCTCTTGGTTTCAAAGTCTTTAGAAGGTTCACAAAAAACTGGGGGGGGGGGGGAATGCAGCATCTCCTTGGTTTATATGAGTTTTGGACAAGAGGCTGGTTTGAATGATTTGATCTTGACACTGCTGCTTTTTTATTTTTTATTCATTATATAACTTTTTCCCTTTGTGTTTTTCCTTTGCAAAAGGGAACAGAAGAAAGAAGACAGTGGGATTTTTTAGCTTCCCCCACCCTGAGTTTCCAATATACCTTCTGTCCATCTTATTGCTGCTGCCTCTGGCAGTGACTCCGAAGAGATGCACAAATCAGACCAGCCAGAGCAGCCAATCAGCTAAACGAGATTTGGTTCTGGGAACCGGAAATGTGTGACTCATCTCTGTCTTAGTCATCTTTGGAACCTCAGTGTCTGGCCTGCTGTCTGGAATACAGTAAGAGTTCTGCCTACCACTTGTGCTCTCCCAATCCCTGTCCCTGTGGCCCATCTTCTCATGGTGGCTATCTTTGTCCCACTCTCTGGCTCACTGGACCCCAATCTGCAGGCTACAAAACCCTTACTTGCACCGGCCACCTCCTCACCAACTGCTGCCTTACTGGAAGTGATACCTGACAGTCTTTCAAAGGTACAGTGTTTCTCAACCACGCACTGCTATGTGTTCCACACTCAAATTCCATGGGGAGCAGGAGCAGGCAGCTTTCTTCTGGCCCTTTCTTCCCTGGGTACTATGATCTCTTCCATCTCCAGCAAAAGCCTGATCCAATGGACTCCGCCCTCCTCATCGCCACTGCTAGTCTTTTTCCACTTCAAACCTGAATTCTTAACCTGAGGTACTCAGACTTCCAAGAAGTTGGATAGAATTCAGAGGCTTCATAAGAAGTCTATGGTTTTCTGGATGTTTATTTTGAAATTGGTCACTCTACTCAACTAGGAGCTTAAGTAGAAAATAATGCATCACTATCACTGATCTTGGACTGAACTTCAACAGTTTCTTCAGCTACAAATGTAGGTGATGATCTACAGGAATGTTTGTAGTATCTGTGCTTTCACAGCCAACAGAAATCACTGATATTTTTGTTTCCTACTGTAATGGTTGCAAGTATCACGATACTGCATTCATGCCCATGACAACTTCCAAACTCTGATAATTATTAAGCCTGCATATAGACACTGTTATTTCAGGAATTAGAAGAGAAACATATGGATTATTAAACCATGATATTTCAATAATTTGTTAGCTCTATTTTTGGTAAAAAATCAGTGTATTTGGGCATTTAAAACTATTATTTTAAAAGTAAGCCTATAGGCCGTGCTAGATTGCTAAAGGGGCCAATGGCACAAAGCAAACACTGGTCTAGATAATTTTTTTTCTTACAGTACTGGTGACTAAATGCAGGGCCTTCACACTGGGCTATACCTCCAGCCCTTTGGATTTTTTTTTGAGACAGAGTCTCACTAAGTCAGTAAGTTGCCCAGGTTGGGGTCAGTACATGCCTCAGCCTCCCATCATGATAGAATTAAACATGTTTGCTACCATGCCTGGCTTAGATAACACTTCTTCATTTCTTCATGTTTAAATACCTTCTTATTACATGTACTATGAAGATAGTAAAATATAATAATAGGACAAAAGTTATTGGGGTTCAGCTACTTTAAATCAGTGATTAGGTGAAGTTTCTCTGAGGACATGATATCTGAACTGTAAGGATGCAAATGATACAGCCAAAAAAGTTGGGAGATGGGGATAATTCCAGCACTCTGGGAGGCTAAGGCAGAGAGACTGCAAGTTCAAGGCCAGCCTGAGGAACTTAGCAATTTAGTGAGACTGTCTTTTAAAAGTAAAAATTAAAAATGGGTTAGGAATGTAGCTTAGTGCAAAGGCCCTGGGTTTAATTCCCAGTACCAGAGATTATCTATGAGGAGAGCATTTCAAGGTGATTGAACAACAAAGAAAGTAATGATCCTGAAGCAAAAGGCAGCTTGACAAGTTTGAACAATAGGAAGGGAGCCAGGGAGCTGCGATTTAGTACATAAAGAAGAAGAATAAACTATTTATAATGGCTAAAGAATAGAAACAGCCCAAATGCCCATCAACTAAGGACTAGATAAAGAAAATATGCACCATCCATACAAAGGTATGTCCTCAGCCATAAAAAAGGCAATTCTGATACATGCTGCCACATGGATGAGCTCCAAAAGCATCACAATAAGTGAAAGAACCTGGACACAAATATTGTACGGGGCATCTTCTATGAGATACCTAGAAAGTAAGATTTACATAGACAAACAGAGGATTAGTGGTGGCCAGGGTCTGAGGGGAGAGGGAAATGGGGAGTTTTTGTTTAATGAGCTTTCTTTCAGGGTGACAGGAATATTCTGGAACTAGATGGAGGTAGAGCTTGTACAACAGGTAGTGGCGGAGACTGTCAATGTATTACATGCCAGTGGACTGCCCCCTTTAGTAGTTAATTTTGTTATGTGAATTTCACCTCAACAAAGACAAAAAGAATACCAACAGATGAAACAAGTAAGGTAGCAAAGCTAGATAATGTAGGGCCTTGTGGGTAGGGCATATTAAGGGAGCTTTTCTTTTTTGTCTTTTTCCTTTTTATTGGTACCGGGGATCGAACCCACGACTGCCTGCTTGCAAGGCAGGTGCTTATGCCGCTGAGCTAAATCCCCAGCCCCCTTAAGGGAGCTTTTTAATGTGAATGGAATGGAATTTTCTCTTCCATAGTACTTTCTACTTGGTTATTGTTGGTTCATAAGAAGTCTATGGTTTTCTGGATGTTTATTTTGAAATTGGCCACTCTACTCAACTATTTGTCACAATTGTCTTTGAGCTAATTACTGTGGTCTCCTCTATTTGCTATTTGGATCTGTACTGTCCCTCAAATGCTTATGTGCTAAAGGCTTGCTCACCAACCTGTGGCACTACTGAGAGGTGATGTGGCCTTTAGGAGGCAGAGCCCAGCGGAAGGAAGGTAGGTCATCTTCCTAGAGTCCTCTTTCTTCTAAACCATTCCTTCTGTGCCCTCTGAAATCCCTGCATCATTGATAAACAAAATTGTCTTTGGGCCAGCAGCACCCACATTGCATGAGTGCTAGTTAGAAATGTAGAATCTTGAGTCCTGAACTCAGAACTATAGGGTCAGAGCCTGCATTTTATCAAGAGCCTCAGTGGCTGGAATGTACATTAAAGTTTGAGAAAGGCTGGCCTATGTCACCTGCCTCTTCACGC